TTTTCTTAATTCAGCAGATATGTGCACACAGAAAAAGACCTAACCAACATTTAATCTACTCACAGCACCAGCAGCCAGTGACTGTACATTTGAAGGTGAGTTATAATCCATTTGGCTGTAGTGCCATCAAAATCTAACTACAGAGGTATTAATTTTAGCTTCATATGTATTTTTCATGTAAATACAGATTTAAAGACTTTTTATGTGAGTGTATACACACACACACACATATACTTTTTTTTATCTATACATTGGTACAATGCATGGTACCTGTAGTTTTAAGCAGAGTCACACCCTTAGAAAGGGCTGTATCAGGAATGGTCAGGGTGAGCCATGGACATCTAAGCACGTGAATATGCTTGTGTTTTACCTGACCTCATTAGGTACCTATTCTGGATATAATTTTACAAAGGATGGTGATAAGGTAAAAGACAGCATCTCCCTTACAGTGCTAAACAGAAATGCAGGTGTTTGAATGAAACCAGAGCAAGAAGAGCATGGAAAACCAGATGAAACTCAGTAAGTGTTACAGGTCAGTGAAAAATAGCCCAAAATTTGACATTTCACATATGTATGGTGTCTGCTTGGCAGACTCTGACTTCCCTAGAATGATGACCAGTCCCCTCCAAACAGTGTCCTCAACACTCATCTAACCAAGATGGCAAAGTCACCCCTTGAACATGCAGTCCTGATGGAAACCACCTACAAATCACCTTTACCTTCCCCTCCCTGGCTAACACTCCTCCCTCGGGCGATGGTTTGGCAGCAGTGCCCTGCAGTGAGCCGACTCGCAGGTGTGGCTCTGGGATTCCCCCAGCCAGGTGCCCAAAGGCACAGCTGTGCAGATGTTAGATGTGCCCAGGGGTGAGCCAGGCTCTCAGCCTCAATGGGGATATTAAAATACTTGTCTGTCATCTGAAAGTGCCTCTTCTCCTGTGAAAGGGCAGCAGCACATGCTGTGCATTCAGAGACCAGCACACAGTTTTTTGGCACTTTTCTTCCATTCCTGGATGACATCTGAGCAGCAGGAAAACAATTTAGTGACTAGGCAAGCGGCTCACAGGAGGAGGAGAAGGAAGAGGTCATTAAAATCCTGTTATTTTTTAAGCTCTTATGAGTCTGATGTGAGATTCTCCCACAGATTTGCCACCTCTTTGACCTTAAAGCAGTATGCTTATAATGTACTTAGTGGAAGCACCAAGAGTGCAGCAGTGTATGGCATCTTTTTGCACACTGCAACATTTCCTGAAGAAGCCTCCAGGATGGATAAATTCAAAGAAAAATATTTCTTGGCTTTTAACCTCTTATTCTCTTTGTACTTGCTAAACAGCTCAGGGAGCTCTTTTGGCCATAAGCATGCCTTGTTTTGAAGCACCCTTGCTGTTTTAGGTCCGCCAGACAGATGACAGCAAAAAATGCCAAACAGTTTGGAGTGAGGCAGCATGGGGCTATTTTAGGTTGCATGATCCTGTTTCAGACCAGTGGCAGTTTGTTTCACCCTCCACAGGGATACCATTAATGGGGTGGAAGTCTAGATCTATAAATTATCATAATTTTTCAGATATTGCCATTTCTTTTTTGTTCTCAAGCCTGCAAACACACATGATCACATTTAGCTGAGTGCAGGGAAATCCCTCTGTGTTCAGTGAAAATAATGACAATGCCAGCTAGTTGACAGTCATGACAGGCAGTGCATCACAGTGGGTTTAGCCTCTCTTTGTGAGGAAAGGTAGAAAGAAACAATATAAATTAAGCCCAAACAATGACAATGCTGATGATCAACAGAGGGATTTTTGTTCTCAGAAACTCAGGTTTGAGTCTCTATGAAGAGAAATGACCTCATCTATTAAAGACAGAGCTGGAAAACAGTTGGGTTTCAAGATGATGAACTAGTAATAAAATAATTTCAGGAGGGAAGGGTCTTGTGTACCTTGTTGGAGACACATATTCCAGAACAAAATATGGATATAATGAGCAAAGAGAGGAGCAGAGTAAAACACAGGGAAGCTGCTCTGGGAAAACCATTAAATACTGCAATAGGGATTATACAGCTCTTTAAAATTGTCAGCTGACCTCATGCAGTGGAAAGGAAAAAATGTGAGTTCTAAAGGAAAACAGAAACTCAAATGGAGAGACAGAGGAGTGTTTCTGTAAGCCCAGCAAAGGCAGCTTTACTGAGTTTGGGCAGCAAATGGATCTGCTTTTCTCTATTGTCTCTCCCAAAAGCTATTTCAAGATTGAGCAGCCCTCCCAGAAATTTCTGTGCACATGGGCTATTATATATCCTCCTCAGGAGCCAGGCCCGTGGGAAAAGGCAGCCAAATCTCCTCAGCCACTCTGCCATGACCTGGGACCTGCAGACATACCCACCATCTTCTCACTCTTCCCACAGCCCAGAGGAGAAAGAGAACGAGTGGAAAGCCATGTTGTTCCAAGGGCTGGTGGCATCGGCATAGGTGTGGCACAAGAAGCAGTCGGGCTCCAAAGTCTTCACTCCAGCTTCCCCATCATCCTCACTCAGCTCATGAGTCCCTCTGCTGTCAGCTCAGCAGCACGGCTCATGAGGAACGTGCCCTTCTGTTCCTTCAAACCTGTGCTGCTGAGACATGAGAGGAGGAGGCCGGACAGTGTAACCATGGAAAAATCATGTTCAAAAAGCCCATCAATAGTGTTAATGAGATTGGTTTCTTTGCTGTAGTTGTGTCGCTAGTGAGGACAGGGGATGGGATGAACTTTGTCTGTTCATCAAAGTCTGAGGGCCAGAGAAGGAAGAAACATCCAAGTGTGTTTTTGGGGAGGCTCTCCAGGTTCTCAGGTCACAACTGGGGATGCTGGTCCAGCCATGGTGTCTTGTGCCTGAGACCTTAATTTATCCACCTACAAAGCACAGCTTTGTTCTCTTACCCAAATACAAGCTCCAGGCCTGAGGGCCATGTTTTGTGAAGAACAGTAGGAGAGTGATGTCCTGGTTTGTATGGATATAGGTACAAATTTGGGATAGGATTTCAGGCCAGCTCTATTCAGGTAGTGCTTTACTCTTCTCTCAGGTAAGGATGGTTTTTTTAATTAAAATGTTGTCATTAGCAACAGGTAAAGCAAGGAGTTCAGCTGGTGACCCTGCTGGGTTGGTTAGCCGCTGTGCTAGCATTCACACCAGTGCTGAGCCCCAGGGCATCTCCTGCACTGAAAGAGCTGCCAATTACAGAAACTCACGTGCTTCATCTATTTTTTGTCGGAGGGGAGCTGGACACCCATTGCAAGCATGTTGAAAGTGCATTCCTCTGCTGCAGGCTGGGAACACCCACTGAGCTCCCCAGCCTTGACACACAGGTCTTGGAGGACAGAGCTTTCCTTGCCCCAAACCTGCCAGGTTTTAACCATGGAACCATCAATACCACCCTGCTGGCTGTTCCTGCAGGAGCTGAGGAAACAGGTTCACAAGGAAGCACTCTCAAAGCCACTAGCCTTTCTGCTCTTAGCAGCTAGAAGAGGACAGCAACATTATAGGTATATGTATTTATGTATAGTGTTATCAGCAGGGCACTGACATCAAGGATGGAGAGTTTTGCTGTTTTGCTACATGGACAGGAGCCAGGAGTTGGTCCTCTCCTTCCTTTACATACTGTGTTTACAGAGACAGGCAAGGATCAGTCTTACAGGCTAAAAGAGGAGCATGAGGAGCAGCAAATGTAAGGACCTGGCAAATATGGAAGGTTTGGGAAAGAGTTGGTCATCTTCCACAAAATCACAGAGAGTACTCCTTCATTGCTTCAGTCTCATTTCTCTAAGTGAACTTCAGAAGCATCCAGGTTGTCATTTTGCCCCGTGTTCACTGTGGCTGGCCAGCAGCTGTTTTGGTAGCAAGGAACAGAGCAAGCTGCGTGCTCTGCTCCACACCCTTGTACAGGCGTGCTGGGATCTGCGTGGCTGAGGCATTTCCTTCCAGGGCTCAGTGGGGAGATTACCAAGTCATTTGGGCTGAGAGGCATGAGGGCAGGGCAGGACAGACCTGGCCAGACTTGCCCTCTTCCTTTTGCACTGCACTCACAGAGAACTGTAAGAGAAAGGAAGATTTTTTTGTAATCAAAACTGAAAGCAAACACCTCCCTGAACCTACCAATATTATTTTTTATGATCTCTAGCATTGCATTAGCCTTCTGCACCTCTAAATTAACACCGGCAAATCATGTGGAGATGCTTATAGATGACTTGTTTGATTTTTGGTTTCCAGTAGTTTAATTTTATTGTTAAACATGTGGCATACCGCTTTATTTTTGACCAAAACATATAGCTGTAAAGGAGAGAATTTCTCACCAGAAGGGATGAAGTGCCTTGTACCAGGCTGCAGTAGAACTTCACCCATGCCACCACCCTGCCAAAGTCACAGGTGTGGGGTTGGGGCTGCCTCCACACTGGGGAAGAAGCACCTGATGCCCCAGCTTTGTCTTCCATCAGCCTCTTTGGTGAGGAAAGCAGTTTTCCTTTGCTTGGATTAATGCCAAAGAAAGAAAAGAAAGTAAAAAGAAAAGAAAGAAAAGATTTCTCCCAACAGAGCCCAGGAGCTACAGAGGCTTTGAGGACAGGCAGTTCTGCCGCACTGAGGACCAGCAGTCTCTGTTACAGCACTTGATTTTATGCTGGTTTTAAAATGTTTGCAATGTTTTAAGCATTTGTCTGTCTTTCCTTAACCAGAATATAGAAATGTGCAAATAGGAAAGGAGAGGTAGAGAGACTCCATCAAAGACCATCCTCCATCCTACAACTGATGCCATAGGAGCAGCTGTGTGGGGTAATGTGAACTGGTATGGGGAGGTGCTTTGTTTTCACCATGGTTTGGTTTTTTGGTGGTTTTGGTGTTTTGGCGTGTTTTTATTAGAGGGGAGGTTGTTGTTTTTCGTTTGTGGGGTTTTTTTGTTTGGTTTTTTTTTTTTTTTAATGGCTAATACATTTGTTGCTGAAGGTTTATTTTTAGCTAGAAGAGAAATCATTGTTATGCCATGGCAACCAGAACTGGGAGGTAAGCTAGAGCAAAGTGGTCTGACTAAAATATATCTGAAAGCATTCAAGTTGATTAAATATCCTAAAAATAAAGATGATAGCTGTTAGGATAACACAATGCTGATGTTTGTGATTTAGAAACAAACAATTTCTGTTCTGGCATTTTTTTTTTTTCTCCTAGTTACTGGCTGTGAAGGGAGGCCTGGAAAATCATTACTGATAGTTATAAATGACTAGTACTGATAAAGGATTTGCAAAACGGGTGGGATGTTCTGCTGGAGATGTGAGGAAATTAGTCTTTCTCTTTTAAGATACCATAAAACTCTCCTGCAACCCATGCTTGATGATCCAGCTGCAGCGCTGAGCAGATCAGCTGGTGGGAGGCAAAGGACCTTGTGGGTAGGTTTTTCCCTTCCTCACAGGGGCTTGTTTAATGTCTGCTAAGCAAGTCCTGGCTGCAGAGATCCTGGTGCTTATTGGGATGTTGGGGGTCATCCCTTGCACGTACCAGGCAGCATAACACCTCTGGGTCCAGATGACCATCATGCCTTGTGGTTTTCCAGCAGTGTCAAAGAGAAGAGCTGCACAGAGCCTTACCAGAGCCTCCAAACAGCCCCATCCCTGGCAGCCACCTTGGGATGCTGAGAAGATAGAATTGGGCAGTGGTCCCCATATATCCTCCTGCCTGGTGACTGGCTATTTTAGGCACCTCTGAACCATGGATGTGTCATTGAGTTCACATGCCAGCATGTGAAGACATTGTCCTTTTGATCTGAGAAAGATGGAGGGCCTTGAATACCTGGGCATCACGGGTGATCCCCAGCTGGTGTCTGCTGTGTGGGTCCCTCCATGCCAATAGATCTTAGGGTGGACCCCAGCAGTTCAGGCACTGGACCATGAAAACCAACCAAGGTAAACTGGAGCAAAGTCAGAACCAGATTGAGGGGCCCTGAGCCCAGGGGCTGGATTCTCCATCCAAGGGAGGTGGCTTCCTGAGAGGGGGAGATACCAACACAAGCCTGTCAGCCTCTCCTCTGCTTTTGTCTCTTCTCTTGGAGGCTCTTCCCCATCAGTGCCGGGAGGGAAATGGTTTCCATGAGCACTTCTTTAGGTTTTGGGTCTGACCTAAATGGGTAGGGCCCATTTTAGGCAGGGGAACAGGAGTAATGGAGCACACAGGTCCTACAGATGTTCATGCTCCTATTGCCATGAACAGATCCTGACTTGGTGAGGGATGGAGTTCCCTTGCTCTGGTCATGACTTCTGGGCTGTTCTGAGGCAGTCAGACTTCTGAACTCCAAACAGACATTGTCAGGTGTTTGGGACTGGAGGTTTTACTGTGAAGGCACTTCACTTTAGGCTGTGGTAGACCCATTCAGTCTGAAGTGCCAAGTCACTCAGACAGGAAGGGTCGTCAGATCTCAGATCCAACTTACGGCTCAGAACTAGGTCAGCAATGGCTTCAGACCATGTTACTTTGTCCTATTGGATGGTGGAAGCCTCCATTTACAGACACTGCACAACTTGTCAGGGCAACCGGTCCCATTGTTCAATCATCCTTGCATTATGTTTTTGTTTCTTACACCTAGTCAGGCCCAGCTCCAGGTTCTTTCATCCAAAATATTCTCCAATGGCAAATGCATTTTAACTCCTCTTTATACCCTCTTTCTATCTGTTAATTGAGCTCTGAAAGTCCTCCTTTCTTACTGGCCATGATCCTTGCAGAAGAATTCAACCAAAATTACAGTAGAAGCCCTGGAATTAAGACTTCTTTCCCAGCACCTCATAATTTAGTACTGCATAATTTTTGCCACTCAGATTCTATGTGGTTAAATCAAAAGCAAAAACACTTGGAGAAAATTGACATGGTCTAGAAAACACTTTAGGCCATATTGGCTTTCTTCTACTTGTGGCAAACTGTCAAGTATGAAATTTTGACTAACAATGTCAATATTTGTGAATAATTTACTATTTTCAAAGAGCTGTGCTGTAGTATGTTTTAAATTATATAAATAACAGAATTATTATATTTAGATTTTTGAAACTAATTTATTCTTACTTCTAGTTAACAAAGAATCAGTAAGGTCTGTGGGTTTTCTTAATTTTGAAATATATACCCAAAATTATATATGAATCTTTTTCAAAAGATGCTACATAATTATACTCTTCTTGACCTGTTTTTACAGATTTTTTTTCACCTTTTATGCACAGTGGTTGGATTGACCCTCTGTTCTGGTATCTATTTAGAGTTGTTTGACACCATGGGAAATACCCTTAATGAATACATTAGTAATTATGCACGCACTTAGAAAATCAAGCACAAAGGTGAATACCAAGTCTGAGCAAAAAAAATTTCACATGAATGTTTCAGAGGGCTGGCATAATTTCCTCCCTTTGCACAGGCTGCAGGAACATGAAGCATTTTAGAAAAAGAGACCATCTTTGGTCTACAAGAAGCTACAAAGAAAGGCCTTGATCCTGCAAGTGGCTTTGAGCAGATTTCTGAACCAGTGTGCATCTGATCGTGGCTGCATGAACAAAGGGCCCAATCACAACTCTGTGCCTCAAAATGTTCCTTTTCTGAGGGCTGCAAATCTAGATATGTTCGAGGGGAGTCATGCTCTTCCTTTTTCCAGGGTCTCCTTTCCCCTGTGATCCCCCTGGACACTCTGGTGTGCACACATTACTCATTACAGTTCATTAAATACTAGCAGCCACTGCAAGAGACAATGGTGGTTCTCCCTGTCCCAAGCTTAGTCATGTCCCTGTCCCATTTCCCAACCAGCAGAAAGGGAATTTTCTGCCAGTTTAGCTGCTTGAAGGGGTACAAGGACATTAGTGGAAGGTCGAGGGACTAGCAGGAATGGCTTTTTGTGGGCAGTGGTCATTAGCTGGGAGTGGATGTGTGATACTCCACATTTCTGTCACATCCAGGATAGGAGCCATGGCAGGCACTGGACCCAGGCTGGATGTCTATGTGCTGAGTGCACAGGTGTGACTTCAAAAGGTAAATATGGACCCAGATAAAAATGGCCTGAGCTTATGATGAGCCATTATCTTCAGGGTTTTGCTGCCTGAAGTCTCTAAGATGTTTTCCCCATGGCTGTGAAAAAACACATCATTTTTTCAGAGTGGCAGAACCAGGAAGGGAAGTATCTGTGGGGTCTCCTTCCCCCAGAGCTGCTACCAGGTGGGGCCAGGTCAGCATCACAACAGGGCAGACATCAAAACCCAGGTATTTCAGCATCCCCATCCTACCAAGGTGTCCACTTTGTATTTCCTTCTACTATACATCCCCTCCTTTCCTTGGGATGAGGGTCTGGTATGGTTATGGGGCCACAACCCCTCCCTCACCCAGGGCCTGTTGATGTGGCTGGTTTTGCTCCCTGTTTGTAAAGCTTTATCCAACACCTGGATTCTCAGGCATTGTGATAATGAAAATAAGATGAAATAGCACTTGGTTCATTTGGTGAAACTAAAATTGATTTTTAATTTTTAATAGGTTGACTCACCACTCGTGGGCATTGCAGACAGTAGTTAAAAACTACTTTGCACTGGAGTCAGAAAGTCAGAACTAATTAAAGAATATGTCCACAAAAGCACAGCTAATAGACTGAAGGGAAGACCTTAATTAGAAATTTGGGAGGTACTAACCCTTGTGTTAATAATGCTTAAATGACGTTTGGGAGCCGTGCAAAATAAGTAAACAGCTTCTCTCTGCATAGCTACAGTTGAAGACAGGAGACCAGAAGAACTATATAAATAGGGTCTGGATGCTGCCACTCCAGAGCTGCAACAGCCTCCTCCTGAAAGCAGTCTTCAGGATTCCTCTCTACCTAGTAACAAACAGCACTGCAGCACTTAAAAAAGTCTGTAGAGTAAGGCAGCAAGGTGACTCCAAGGACTGCAAGGCATGAGCAATAGTATGCAGAAGCTAGAACACCTCAGCCTACACAATATGACTTACCTCAGCTCCTACAGCAGAGCTCCAGGCACACCCTCAGTTATCTGGCAGACACAGCCAGGGCTCGGGAGAAACGTAACTGAAGCAAGAGAAGTATTTCAGGCATGTCGCTGGTGATGCAGTGATTTGGGTATGACCCATGCTGAAAAAATAACCAGGCTAGGAGAATTACATGTTTTACAACATTTCATTTCTATTAGGAAGAAAACTAAAATAAGAATCTGATTGTAATATGCCCCTCAACACAAGCCTGAAACTCTATATTAGCAAACCTGGACAGTACTGTAAATCAAAAGGTATGCTTTCATTGAACTTGCTGTGACAGACCCCAGCGTAATCAGCCCTGGCAAACCATCCCAAACTCCATCCATCCCCTCACTCCAGCCAGTTCCTGCAGCAGCAGCAGGACCTGTGTGGCTGGCACAGCTTGGGGGGAGCCACAGGGATCCACGGGTGACCTGAGACCGGCTGCCACAGCACCCTCACCCCCATCAGCACCACCTCCCCTGGCACCTGGAGCCAGGGAAGGGAGAGTGGGTGCTGAGTGTGCTGCAGGAGCTGTCTTTTGACGAGAGCTGTCTTGGAGCTGAGATATTAAAAATAACAATCGACATGTTCAGGCACGACAGCTCTCATACAAAAGAAGTTCCGTGAATTTCACCATACCTTCTGTGTTGTGGCTGCCAGTACAGAAACCTACCTAAATTATCACATTGTCTGGGGGGAAAATAATCACACAGATTTAAAGTGTGATAAAATAATGCAAAGGAAAGGTTTCCACTAATTTTTAGCACATTATCAGGGGAACAAGACATATCCCCTTTCTTTTCTAATCCACAAAACAGGACTAGTCTGAAGTTTGAGGTGTTTATAATCTCTGAATGCTGTGAGCTACATTAGTCAAAAATCTCAAAATGTTGAGTTATCTATTTGCTGATGCCTGGCAGGGCACAGTTCTCGCATGTTTCTGGTTTTCATTAGCAAGCTAATTTTATTTAAATTTTGGGGAACTTTCAACTAATCATTTAAAAAATACTAAATGTGGGTAATTACATGGAGAACACACTAACAGCAGGCTTATCAGAAGTCTCAGCCAGGAGCATCCTTCAGTGCTCTGCATGTTCAGCAACTATTTCTCCCACCCCCACAAAGCAGCCACCATGGCGGGGGAAAGATGAGAGCCTAGTTACAGTTTGGAAACTGCATCTGAAGCATTTAGGGGTGTTCAACCTCTTTCACGTCTTTATTTGTGGAGTCTTGTCTTGGGGGCTGACAGGAGACTGGGCTGTGTTCAATTAATTTTTCTCATGAAATCCCTTGTTATGCATTTTGATGCCCCTATCTTTAAAGTCTAAAAGAAGTAACTCTTAGCACAAGATATTACTGGCCTTGAACAGCCATCAAAAACCTGCAAGATATGATATTGAAGTAACTTTTTATCATCTTCCACCTTCTTTTTGTAGTGGAGGGCCTGTGGTGACCCTACATTTTCCTATACTTTTAAAAGAATGGGAAACCTCACAGTAGAGCACTACCTGCTGCATCCCTGTTATTGAAGAGTGAATGGTCAAAATTTTGCCTAAGTCACAGGTAGGAGAGACCATTTGATCTGCTGCTTGATACAACTATTTTCAATCTGTGTTGTTGTAAAAAATAAGGTTGTTAATTTCTGTTAAAACAAGGTTGTTGTGCCCAAACTTCCCGCAGCAAAAATACAATAGACTTCAACGGGGGAGCTGGCATCTCACCACCAAGAAAAGCTGGGGATAATCAGTGCATGTGCCCTTGCTTCACTTCACAAAGGCCTTCAAGAGAAGAAATAAAAGGCAACATAGCAGGCTGGTATTAAGCAGCCTCAGCCATTCAGATACTTAGCTGAATTATCAACTTCATCTGAAAAGAATTTAAACCAGACCATTGATGGTAATTATCAACTGCACTTTGTGGGCTTTCAGTCTAATGAATACACAAATGAAAAATCAATGGAGGAGGCTTCCAAAAATGAACATGGCAACAATCTTGATCTTAGAATTGGCTCAATCCTCCCAAACCAGCTCTAAGGTTATGTTCCTACTGTACATTTCTGTTATTTCATTGCAGAGCCTTCCCTCTGAGGAACTCATTAGTCCTTTTATTCATAAAATAAATGCAAGTTTAATTTTCAAATTAAAAAAGCATTAAAATAATTACATCTTCAAATCCCCAGTTAAAAATGATAAGAGATCAAATCTGTCAAAGGCTGTAAATTATTCCCTATCTTCTGAGGGTCAGTTGAAAAATTTGCTCAGAATGAAGCAGCCACACTGAATAAAACTTTAAATAAAGAGGATTAAGCTCTGCAAACCACCAAACTCAGCTGAACTTGCAATTCAACATTATAAATTGCCAGCTTCATCTCTTTTTAGCTGGAGAAATACAATATACATTTGTCTTTGTTACAAAGAGGTTCTGCAGCTCTGAGATGAATACACTATGGACTAACAATGGCTAATCATGTCCAAAGGCTGGGGGAAGGCACGAATCCTGGCCCTTTGGGGTCATTTTGCAGGCTCTATTACCTCTGTATGGCACAGTCAGGCAGATACATACCTGGTATCAATTCTGAATTATGTCTTGACTGGAAACAGATCTTGGCAGGGAAAAAAATCCGTTTCAGCTAGACTTAATTATCTGTGAATTCTGAGGAATACTCGCTGCTTGAGAGAAAACTTGAGAAAATTTGTGCAACCACCAGTCAGAAAACCACACAGCATGGGGAGGCACTCCCAGCAGTCAGGACATGATTCTGAGGTGTGACGTGACTTATATTTCCTCCTTTCCTTTATCTTTTGCCCCAGGTCAGAACATTGGTCTATCTGCATCCTCCTGCTATTTCCACCACGCTGCTGAGTAGAACATTCCATGGCCCCATTGCTAGTGTGCGCAAGACAACCCCTTCCCCAGATGAAAAGAAAGCATTTAAATAACATTTGGGGGTTGAATATAATATTTAAATTGATTCAGGAAATCCTTTAGGTTTGTCCAGAATTCAGAAATAGTTTGATTTGGGATGGATCCAAAATGAAATGTTGTATTTGGTGTAATCACAATATTGTAAAAGCAGTGATTCCCACAGTTTCTTCCTCCTGACAGCAATTGAAGCTGATCTCACATGGCACATTTTGTGCTGCTGCTGCCTTCATTGATTAAATTTTTCTTCAACCAAGTAGTTGCATCCATATACAAGTAAGAGAAAAACTTGGAGTGATCTTTTAAGGAACTTCGGGTCAAGTCATAATTTGGCTGCCAATAGCTCAGAGGCAAACACATCTGCTATTCTCCACCTAGCAGCAGTCTATCTGTATCAGCTTTCCTGCCGTAGGAAAAAAAATTGGCAATTAAGAGGCCTTGGGACAGAGAGATGTGGTTGGATACAGACTCAGTCTGTATTCCTAAAAATACTTGCTCTTAATTCCCAGCATCTAATACCTGCTCTTCACCACACTCAAAAGTGAGTGAAGAGTAGAAGCAGCAAACTTCTTGCAGCATCCCCACAGGTGCAGAGTAGCTCTGTTTGGACAATTACAGTTTCTTCCTCATAATTTTAAACTTGTCTCAAGATTCTGCTTCTAATTCTGTGTAATGTTATTGTCACAGGAACATCTTGTATGTTTGGTTAATCACTGCAACCAACAGAGGACTACTTATGCATTTCCTCATGTTCTGCCTCTTCTGGTGCTCACTGGTTTGTTTCTCGAAGCATGGCGTGATCAGCACTGAGACATGTTGAGGAAGCCAAGCTCACTATTTCCCTGGCTGCAGGCCACAAGAGCTTGGGGATGCTTCACCCACGTGGGATATGATGTCCAGATGATTGTGGTAAGACCATAGGGACTGGTTTTCTGCCACTCTGCCTGTCAGGGGTGATAATAGGCACTGCTGACTTTAATTTCTGAGGGCTGGACCACTTTTTTGAGAGGTCATTGAAAACTGGAAAGTCTAGGCATATGGAAGAGCAAAGGCAAAGGAAAGCAAAGTTTCTACAGTGCCTATTCCATTTTGATTTCACTGCTCTGACCACTTTGCACTTTTGAAGAGGCAAGTCTCCTGAAAGAGCTGCATCCTCTCCATGTGGGAAGTAGCTTGTTGGATGATTGCATTAATCTTGTCCCTCACCTGAAGCAGGTAGCTCAGAACAGCCAAATGAGAAGCACACGAAATCTGGTGAGCCCACATCAGTGCCTCCCCAACTGGGAGAGCTTCTCAGTTCCCATTTCTATGAAGTGGAGCAGTTAAGTATAGCTTATCCAGATAAAAGGACTTTCCTTCTGAGAACATGAATTAACAAGCAAGTTATAACTGGTGCTTGATTTTAAGCCTATGTCTCTAGCATATCATTAGCTGGGTTTCTCCTTCTTTTGGGTTTTTAAAGCCATGAAACCCACCACCCTGGTGAGATCTATGTGCCAATCCCAGCTGGAAAGTGTTGTGCCCCCACAGCACCCACCTGTGTCCTAGCATTCAAGCTTCTTTTCAAGCAAAATGTAGAAACAAGACCCACAGCAATGCAACCCTCATCTGTGGGAAAAGATGGGCGGAGAGCTACTAAAAAAAAAATGAAAGCTCTGCATTATAATAAGCCCTTGCTCTTGGAGACACATATAAAAGAAATTTCATGGTTTCTTGCTCTGAGAAGTGGAGTTGCAGTAGTTAAAACTTGTTAGACTCAGGAAGTTTCAGAGCAGTTGAAGGATGAGATCACTGTTGTTCAAACAGCCAGTAAGGCATGGTAAGGTAGGAAGGTGCTACTTCCTACCGGTTTGGGCATGGTAAGGTAGGAATCCACAACTATTTCCAGCCTTTGGTCAGCTGCCCCTGAGCCCACTGACCCCTCCATGGTGGAATACACAATGGAGCCAGAGCAGCCTGGCTCTTCACTGTTGACAGTGAAAGAAATGTGTTTTTCTCTGTAATCAGCTGCATGTAAAGTGTAGTAAAAAGTCTTTTGGAGAGAAGTTGTAGTTAAGATCATTTTAGACCTAATATTTCTCCAGCAGCTGTGCAGCACACTTTGAGCTTGACCCTTGCTTCTGTCACAAAGATGCACAGAGTAGTTCTAGAGGTGCAAAACCCTAGTGCACCAGCCTTTGCCTACCTCCCATATATCACTGCCAAGAATGCATAATTTAAAAGTAAGGGGAATAAATCTCTGGATGAAATAAAAATACCAGTTAAAGGGACCTCTTACAGGGTCACCACAGGGCAATTTGTCTTCTCATGTCTGGTCACCTGAACAAGATGAGGTCATCACCCTCTCTGGAGTCTTAGGAGGAGCCAACACAACTAACTTTGAGGAGAAGACAACTAAGTCTAGAGGTAACATGAAAGTGCAACGAGATTGACATGGCATTGTAAAGCCTGGAGTTGATCCTCTGTGTCCCCAGACTGCCTCTAGTGCCTTTATTGTGGAATCAATACTGATTAATGAGGTCTTAGATTAGCTTTATTTGAAATTATATTTGAGTATCATAAAGCAGAATGGTGCACAGGTTATTGCAGCAGCATTAGTATGTAATGACTTTGAATTGACCCATTCAGCTGTGTAGAAATTTCACTTGAAGGAATTCACTCCTTGGGAGATTGGTTTCTGACAAAATGTAGCTGTGGCATAAGTGTTTATGGTTTCTATCTACATCTCCAAAAATAAGCTGATAAATTAACATCTCACCCCAAATTCTGTGTGGCTGAGCAATAGCCTGGGAAGGTTATGTTGAACACCAAGGTGGGCAGTGCTGAGCAACCAGATCATCCCCAGCCAAGCTGAGCAGCAGGAAGGGTTGCAGCCATCTGCCACACAGTTGGTTGACTCGCCTGGGATTAATCTGTTCTTGAGTGGACATACAAGGAAAAAGGTGTCAGTGTCCTCTGGCCTACCACCACTAATTAACTGGCATTGTTGCTGATATTAATTGATATTCTTGCTGCTGCAGGAGAGAAGCCAGAAAGCAAGCAGGGCTGTCTGTCTCCTCTTTCTGAAAGTGAGCTTCTTGCAACATGGACTGAGATGTGTTATCCAAAAGGTGCGAAGAAGCTGTGCCCAGCCACTGCCCAGATGGCACCTGCTGTATGGCAGCATGGAGATTGCCAGTCCCACAGGGGATGCCAGTCTCATGGAGGATATGAGTCACACAAAGCAGGTTTGGAAAAGCCTTGCCCTCTGGCTACCAAAGCAAGGTAACCCTGACACAACACCACAGCAGGTGTGCAACAGATGCATGGAAGAGTCAGAAAATTGGTACCTTTTGCAGGCAGCTGTTGTTGTTTCAAAACCATGTAAAATGAAGACATTTGATCCATCTGACTTCACAGCCACTGTTAAACATCGCTGCTGTAGCTGTCTGTCCATCCAAGAACCCCAGTTTTTACAAATCAGAGATTGGCTTTAGGACATGATTACTCTGGCCCAACTTGTGCAATTTTTCAAGAACATCTGAGTAAAAAGAATAATTGCCTTATTAC